ATAGATGCCATAGATTTTTAAGTCTGAAATCGAGTGTAAATGCTTAATCACAGCCTAGTGGTGCAAGCAGGGTGGAGTCTTCAATGTTGACAACTTCTACTTGCATATTTGTAAATATTTGGCAAAAGTTTCCATATAATAAATACATATTTTGGCAATTTATTTTAGTCTATCCTAGAGAATTCCCAAAACATATATCTACCCATAATAATTGAGCATTCATGCTTCAGAAACCCTGGAAAGAATCAAGGAGATGATCTCAAGTTCTCAATTCTTCATTATTTGTGTTTTGGAAAGATAAGGTTTTACAGGAAAATTAGTCAAAAATGTTTTGATAGAAGAACATGGGAATTAATTTGGAAAATACAATTAGAAGTCCTTAATTGCAAGTCTTTGATTTTGTTTCAGAGACTTAAATGCAGTTGAGAAGAAATAAGAAGACTAAAGTTTGGAATTAAATAAAAAAAAAAAAAAAAAAAAGGGGGGGAAATGAAAGGAGGAGCAAACGGCGCCGTTTTGCCGCCTACAAACTTAAAATGTACAAACCCGCTCATTCTCCTTTTCTTTTTAATAGCTTTTTTTACCGAAAATACAACTTATACATTTTGTTGGATTTGTGTATCTCTTTTTCAGAAAAATAAAAGACGTAAAAAAATTCAATTGAGATCTACACCATCTATTTTTAAGTCCGAAATTGGACTTTTCTAATCCCAGTACATTCCAATTTTAAGCATTCTATTTTTATATGTATTCAAAAAGAAAAATGGATTATAAAATAGATTGAACTTACTATTTTCTATAAATAATCAAATAAAAAAATTCAAAATTTTTATATACAATCCAATGAAAGAATATTTACAAGGAAAAAATAAGCAACATTAGGAAGTAATGAACATTTAAGACACTTATCGCCTGATCAAGGCAGCATCCCCAGAAGCTTAGGGTCAATCTGTTGGTTCAATTTATGCAACTCTAAAGGGTGTACTGCTAGCTTAAAAAGCTCCACCATTTCTTCTTCTTCCTATCCTGTAAGATAGGCAGCTCTGGATACATAACAACAATTACAAAAAATTAGAAACAAATGGTAAAAGCATTCAACTCCTTTTATTTCTTCAAACAATCAACCAGATAAGTGAAGCGTGTCGCCTAATATTTAGTTTTCATCTTTGAAACATGCAAAATGGTAGAGGAGGCTCTACTTTACTTGCAGAACTGTGACAAGCACTGCAGCACACTCCTTTTGGTCACCCTAACAAGCAAATATAATGGTAGATAACATGTATTTGGGTGTTTACCTCCTTCAGGGTAAATTGAATTGTAGTGCACCTCAGCCCAAAAGCTCAAGCAAATAACTGCATAAGGAAGTGCAATCATGAGTTTCATAGTTAGAAATATACACTCCCAATAATAAGAAATCTGATCAACCTATGATTGCCACAACCCTGATTTCAGGGGAAGATTAAGAAAACACAAAAATTTGTTTTACCTCGATTTGACTTTTGGACATGTGGAAGGATCTCGATGTAACAAGTATCCTTAAAGGAAGTAATCATGAATATCTTCACACCATACTGCAACAATATGGTAGAATGTATTGGTTATCCATGAAAAACTCCAAAAATAAAAAATAAAAAACACTTGCTTAGCACAAAGAGTGTGTCAATAACAACAATACAACATTCTTGCTTCTTAAAGAAAATAACTAAGGTTAGAAATTAGCTGTAAATGAATTATCTTTTGTTGTTGCACTCAAGTACTTAACCTATATTGCTCAATCTGAAAGACCATACCCCAACAATGACATTGGCACTGCCTTACCTCAGTCCACAAACATGGTCGCAAGTTTATGTTCTTAAAGTATTCAGCGCACATGAAACAACACAAATCCCACCCCAAGGAACTATGAATACCTGAAAACTAACAAAGTTCTTGTCTTGGCTAAACATTGTAAAACCAACATCTTTCAGGAGATAGACCAAACAACCAGCAACAAGTATTTATTGATTTTAAAACCACAAGTTTAATGCAATGTTTCACTTACTAGTTATTTTGACAATGAAATTCCTAAAATGAATAAAAAAAAAAGAGGAAAAGAGAAGAAGAGATGTCTTTAGTGGCTCTTACTGAATCTGCAGCTGCCTGCAATGTGACATGATCACCCCATTCACCATTCCTATATAGTCAACAGAGAAGGAAAGTAAGCAAGAAAGTTTCTGAAAGTGTTTTTGGGAACAAAACAACATATAAATAAAGAACAGTAAAGTACTTGCTCATTTTCTTCAAGTAGTCACCATAAGCCATAGGTACATAACCCTCATACATCTCTGGATGAGACTTGAGCTAATAAAATGAGCATTTGGAAATAAAAATGAAAAAACAGAACATCAGACCAATATTTATATATAAACTATAAAGACATCATAAAAATTGAACTTTTAGAGACACCAACCAACCTGACTAACAACTTGATCTCTCACAAACTTGTGGTGGTCACAGGAGCGGTAAAGTTGATCTGATAAAGCACGAAACTGAGAAGATATGAATCCAATGAGACACCACTTAAGGTCTAATACAGAGTATTTCTTAAAATGCTCCTGGGAAAAAAATATAAAGGAAAAAACGAACCTGACAATTGCCATCTCCTTGAACCTTGTTCTCAACCAGATCATATACCTTCAATCTGAAAATAATAAAATAAAATAAGAATAATATTGCTAAAACTAAACATACCACTCAAACCAACTTAAGAAAAGAATTCACCATAAAATTTATGGATAGAGGAGACAGCAATACTAACCAACAGCTTCTTAAAAATACATCATAGAAACTCTCTTAAATTCAATTACAAAAAGGAAAAAATGGAGAACAAAGACTGGCTATAACATGAGCCCCAACTACTAAATGAAAACAGATTCCATATCACTAGGATTCTATTGCGTTGATTTAAAACAATGGCGTATAAATTCTTTAAAATGAAACTCCTTAGGTCAATTTAAGATAATAGGATAAAAATAAAATTATTAAAAAAGATTTTCGGAACAATAGAGATTTGACACAAACCTCTCAAGTAGCCTTTCGTGATCTGATATCTCCTCATCAGCTGATGGTATCTCCCCATTAGTTTTAGGAACATGCTGTATAACCCAAATTAAAAACTTTAGCAGTGTGGACCATGGTTATTCATCAATTTTATTCCTTGCTCAGAAACATAAATAAGAACTTGAATATGAATATATAATTAGCCCATATTTACAACTGGAAATCATTTGATCTTTATATAAGAATTAATGTAAATTTACAGGATTTGTACTCACAGGAACAGAAACCATCTGATTCAACCTCTTTCCTACTTCACCATCTAGAACAGATGACTCATCTGTTATATCAATTGTACGGACTACAACTTCCTCAGAAAAAGGCTCCACTCCCTTAGTGGAGTCTTCACCAGCCTGTTCATTAATCACTGAGCAACATTCATGGGTCCCTTGATAGTGGTTATTTGAATATATTTCATTTTGGTTAGGATCTTCTGTTGCTCTACGATCATGCTCATAACCTACAGAGGGTACACAACACTATCACATAAAACAACAGGATGAAATGAGCCAATAAAATCACAAAGGCAACCAAGAATTTACCAATACCAAAATTTTGTTGTCTCCCTGGAGGCCCAAGCCAATCCTGTGAAAGAATAGAGGCTTGGCCAGGATTGGTGACCCCAGATGCCTCTGCAGAAGCAAGTTTTGAAAGCTCTTCTTGATAAGCAACTGCAATAACTGCATCATTCTCAATATTCAAATATGCTGGTTCCTGATAACCCTCTCTGACATACCCAACTTGACCGCAATCTCTTTCATACGATGTCACACTACCATAGGAATTGCCATTCGAAGGCAAGCAAAGTTCATGTAGCCTCCATCGAACAACATCCGGATCTAGTTCATTTACCATCATATTGGCTTGCATAGTAGACACTCACCCAGAGGATTCCAATTTCTAAAGAAACCTGTAACATAAGCACATTCAGCACACCATTATATACATTAAGAATAGTAAATTCTACACAGACATGAATTTTTCTTGCACGCGTAACTATATCATATCCAATGTGAATTCTTAAATTAGTACTAAAAGAAATAAATCATCATATCATGCGGAAAAGCAACATCCAAGTTGTCAACTTTCTGTCATCAAGCATGAATCTTTGATCCATCATCATAATAAATTAAATTAAAGTCAAAAAGAGGGAAATTAGTTAAGACAAGATCAAATTCATCAAAAAAAAAAACCATGCATGCTCGAAATTTATTTATAATAATTGAGAATCCCAGGCAAAAGCAAATCCCAACAACATGCAAAAATTAAAACCGGAACCCACAAATCTTTGATCTCAAAATTTCAGGTGAGATCAAAACGGGCACAGAATAATCCAGGAAACAGATAATGGAAGGAATTTATGGGTTTTGGAACTGTAACAGGTAAAGAAGATAAAAAAGTTACTTACTTACCATCAAAGAAGAGGAAGATGACCGTAGCAAGGAAAGAATCTCATTCTTCAGGGGTTTGGGTTTTAGGATAAGCTGCAAGGTGGAGAAGAGGAACGGAAGCGAGGAACAAGTTTGGGAATTTGGCTCCGGTACGGAAAGATTAATTGGAGTCGGTAAAAGTGTTCGTCAGATTAGGCGTCTTTTCTTGAAACTCCCCTACTTTAGTTTTTTTTTTTGGTACCGCCGCACCAGACGCAGCGTGGAGTGCTGGCAACCACTTACGAACGTCCGCGTGTCTTGCGGCAGAAATTAAAAAAACTAATTGACAAATTTTGCCTTAAGCAAAGTTGTAAAAATCGAGATTTTATCTAAAATCGCTTTGGTTAGGTGAAATCGGAATCGTAAAATCAAATAGGTAAAATCGAGATTTTACAGAATTTAATATATAATATATAATAAATTATATAAAATCAAAATTAAATAACAATAAATCAAATTTAGTGTTAGAAACTTGAAATTAGTTAATTAAAATCTAAATATCCAATAACACAAATAAATTAAACGAAGAAGATGACTTAAATTTAAAATTTTAGATGGTTAAATCAAATTTGTCCCGAATTCTCGATTAAAATGTTGATTCGTGGTTGGGTTGTGTGGGTTGTGGGCTTTTAAAATGAAAAACGAGTTTAATTTATGAGTTATTTAGTCAAAACTCACTAACTAAAGATGAGAAGCCCAAAAAGAAATAGGTTAAAAGTCCAATTGCCAAACAGAAGGTAAAATCGAGATTTTACCTGATTTCACGGTAAAATCTAGATTTTACCGTGAAATCCTCAGATTTTATGAATATCAAATTTTAGTATAGATTTTACACGAAATATCTTGATGAAATTGTAAAATCGTAAGATTTTAAGATTTAAATCTAGATTTT